AAAGAGCCACATCTGGCTCGCGAGCCATAGGTTCCCGACCCCTGGTGTAACATCTGAAACTCATTTCCTCCATTTCTCTCAGGTTCCCTGATCAGTTGCTTGGTGGGGTTCTAGTGAGTATGTGAGAGAGAAAGGTGTGTGCATGTGGAAGTGCTTAAGATTTGGCTATATTATATTCAATAAAACTAGAGGGTTAATAAATAATTATTTGTGTGCTATCTTGTCACTTAGTGTGAATCCCTCACTTTCTCATACTCAGAAGAGGTTATTATTGTGTTGAAAGGTGGGTGAGTAAGTTCCTTTCATAAGTCCTGACCGTTGACCAAGGCTACATCCAGCAATCTCAAGATGCCGATTCCCAGCCATCTCAAGCTGTGGAGCATTGCAAGTGGAGAGAGTTGGTAACATGCGCCTCAGTGGATAGCTCAAGGAAGGCTGACTAAAAACAAGCTAAAACTATAGGAAATAAGTAAATAAATTTGAATATATGCCTGAGAACTGAAGATGGGGAACAGAGGGAAGAAATGGGGGGAAAGTAACAAGAATAACAAATGAATACAGAAGAGATGTGGATCTCACACATTTGGAAGAGATAGTTTAAGCATTTTAAAAGTAGCTCCATAGGACTGGAGTTATTTAATATTTTCTGCCCAGATATTCTGCTGCCCTGGGATATTATCTAAGGTGATGATTGAAAGGGTCATTTTCAAAATCATTAAGCCAGGCTATCCTCACGTTCCTGTCCTGTCCATTAGAATACCATCCCCCCAGCTCAGATAGTTGCTTTAAAATCAAGGCAGGCCAAGGCAAATCTCAACTGTGGGGAGGGAGACTGTCAGAAAGAAAAGGTCACAGAAAGAAATAACTAAACTTCCTAGTCACCATACAATTTCTTTAATAGGCAGATGAGATGGCTCCATACATCCATGCTTTTAAGAGCTATCCACAATTCGTTGTAGACTGCACAAAACCCTTAGTATAATCAATAAAGCAAAATGTCTCTTTTTGGAACTCGCTTACCTTTTTCTATATCTGTCTGTGTTTAGTAATCCTGCCTCTTCTACATCCAGCATGTACACCCAACTGTACTGATGCAATTCTGATGACATAATTGCTGAGGTAATACTTGCATTAAATACAAGAGCATTAATATGAATTCACAGTGGCATCACAGCTAAGCAGCCTTACAAACCTATTTATGGTTGAATAATGTACCTATGCTGATTGAGGCAAGCACTGTCTGTCTGAAATATGCCAACAATATTATACTCAAGACACAAATACGGACAAAGATACATTGCTCTAAGCATATCCCTTCTGTTCTGCTTGTAGGATAAAACTAGTTCTTGTTAATCAAATATTAAATTGAAGTATTCCCACAAATACACTGTATATGAATAGAGAGTATTCAAGCACGCCATGTATCTCACCTTAAAACCAGTTGGGTCAAAAATATGTACACAGTGTTTCAACAAGAAAGCATCTCCAATAGCATTGAATTGAATAGCATGGAAAGCATACTGTGGCCAAACTAGCTAACTAGCCATCCATCCATTCATTCATTTGATTTAGGCACCACCAGACCAACTCTGGGTGACTCACAGCATACACAGGACAGAATAAAAATACAATAGAAAATAGAAAAGATAGAGAACAAGATGGCAAAGCCAGTCAAAAACTCCAAAACAAATACCAACATATCCAACAAGGAACCCCAACTACCTTAGCCCAGGGCCTGGGAGAACAGCCAGGTCTTTGAGACCTTCTATAACACCATCAGGGTGGGAGCCAAATTAGAAACTGCTTTGGTTCACATATCACACTAAAGCATAATGTTCTTTGGTTTTGATTCAGCATGTGTGAAGCCAACTATTCCTGATATATTCAAAAAACCATTATTAAAGGAACCATATCTTGGGGCAATAGCAGCCTGAGTCACTCTGAGATAAGGAAATTCATTTCATATTTATTTATTTAAAAATCTGAATAACACTGTTTGGAAAATTGGGGGTTTGGAGGGAGAATCAATTTTGGGACCCTAATAATGAGATATTATTTAGCTTATTTTTTCCATGCTGTAATCT